TGCAACAGGTGTTGTCGGTGGGTGTATACACCAAGCCCAACTTCCAAGTCCCCACGCTGCCTTCGTCATGCCTATGGTGTGGTTTTAACCACGCTGTAGGCTGCCCAGTCGGCAAAATGCAGCATCATGTCGCTCTCGCTCATTGTTTTAGCGCGTTCCATGTCACCGACTATTAGCGCCGAGATATTTCGGAGGCGCCCTCTAATGGTTTCAATCTATGACGTCACGACTGGGATTTGCCTCGCCGTGACGTCACCAGTTGTTACCCGGGCTACTTACCACCAGGTGCCACAACGAGTGCGATGGTGTGTTTAAAAAGCACAGTGGAGGCTAGGAAACATCGCAACCGGAACAAACACCGTCAAAGTTGACAATCTGACAATGCTCATATGCCCATGGTCTGGCCAATTGTGGGCAGCTGACCGCAGGGACGCTTTTGGTCGCGCACATCGCTAATACACCAATGACGCGTGGTGAATCTGCCGCGGTCTCTCGCGCTTTTTCCTGCGCGTGATTGCTGATCCATCGTGATCCATCGGATCAAATCGTATAGACTGCGGTGTACAGGGGCTACGAAATGATTTTCCCCAACTTGTTCCTCGTCAACTTTCCTCCTCGACTCGAACGCAAAACGGGAAATCACGGGGTCGTGACATGGCATTGCACCGTGACCGGAAGTTGTCCCGGTCGTCTGGGGTCGGCAGGGTTGGCCGTCGATGTCCCTCGCGTCACGCTGCTGCAATCGCCCATGAATGTTGAGCTACAGCGACTGCCCTCCCGCAGCCTTCTTGCATGCCGACGTGATCGGCATTTTGACCGGGCAATCGGAGTAATTTAGCTTTCGTCGGCCGAAAGAATAGTGTCAGATTGTCAGCTTTGACAGTGTTCGTTTCGGAACGCGATAACTCCGAGCTTCCGCCGGGCTGTTTATCTTTTGCAAGTGATGATAGTTTCCGTCACCGACACTCATTGGCCACGACCAGTGGTCCCTCGACCGCCTCGACTTTCGTTTGATGACGTCCTCGAAGCGTGACGATGTCGCCGGTCGCGATCCTGGCGGTGTGACAGCAGCAGCGATGGATGCGGCAGACGCCTGTTCTTGCTGCAGGTCGCTCTCCAGCTTGACAGCCCACGCAAGCTTCGGCACTCACAAGTTGCGACGACAGCGACGCTCGTGTTCGCTCGCGCTTTTCGCCAGCATTTTTGCAACCAACCGCCAGGATCGCGACATCCGACAGCGTGACAACCCGGCTTTTGTGACGCCATTTGTTGTCACTCCTGGGCCTGTCGGAGACGCGTTCCGGGCAGCGTGTACACCATATAGATGCAGACGCGTGTATGTCGAAGTATCTCCGAGCACGCCATAAAGCCGTCTACCGTTCGTTCGCATAATTAGCTGTACCGTGAGCGGTTCTCGGAACGGCGTCGTATTCCCAAGGGGGCCATCTGGCAACCCTGCTCCGAGACGGGACCGAGGCAACGGGCGGGAGGTACGGAGACCGTACCGCACCTCGACCGGCGAATGACCTCGCCGCCGGCAACCGTATCGGCTCCCTGCGCTGGGACTTCCGACGGTCCCACACACACGCACACGAGTCTCACCTTGTCCGTGAGACCCCCGGCGCGGCGACGTCGCGCTCTCCCTCGACATATTGTCTCTCGCCGTTTCACATTGCCGGGCACACGCACGCACGCACGTGCAGACATACAAACACACAAACAAGCAACAAAAACAAACACACACGCACACACACAGGCAGAACTCGCGCATGATCTCGACAATGCTGGCTTATTTGAAACACGAACTCTGAACGGACGTACCAAGATGGCGACCCTCTTGTTATGACTAGAGTTGCGACGAGGCACGCGTATTACCGCTGTAACACTGCGGACTGTCGTAAAAGAGAGTCTGTATGCAGGCACTGTCTGAGGTGTGTTTCTTCCTCGTATGTTGTCATGTTGGTCGTACAAACAACTCTCTGCGGACATCTCCGAAGCACGAAAGAAGCAAACGGGCTTCGTCCATGCTTCAGGCCTCTCTGCGGATAATTGTGCCATTATGTTTCACGCGAACACCGTGTCTTTTGTATGGTGTATAAGCGGTGGGACCGCGGCATTCGATAAAATGTAGCGGTATTACGTTTATGCCAGAGCTAACATCCCGTCGTATAAAACTAAAGTCTACTGCAACATAAAACCTGCAATAAAAACTCCTCTCTCACGCACACACAAAAAAAGCCGATGTTTTTTCGTGTGTGTACCAATCTTTTTTTTTGGGGGGAAAGGGGGGGGGGGCACGCTTTTGTCTTTTTGTGACGTCAGACAAATTTGTGCGTTCGCAATGAGCACTGAAGTGACGTCATTTCCCGCTTGGAATTTCGGGGTGAAGCCTTTTCCTGCAGTAGTAATGTTGAGACAAGACTTTAAACACCAGGGCGCGATCGGGACTTGCTTTTCGGCATTTTTCCGTTATTCGCTCGGAGTTTCTGCGATGTGGCGGTGCCGAAGTATGACCTTTTCGTTTCCTACTTTCTCGGTGTAATAGATAAAACCGATAAAAAAGAAAAATATCCGCGTATATTTTGAGAATATAGTGTTTACTCTATAGTATAAGTGTGCTACTCCCATCTGACAAATCCATAATGATATAACCTAACCCCCGTTCTTACTTAGTATAAAAATATATCGAATAACAATTGTGGTATGCGCGCGCCATTTGGATGTATTTGAATATTTTAAACGTTTTGAGGCTCGATCATTGATCCAGTCTATCCACTGTGGATTAGAAGAAACAATTTGTTGCAAAAGAGCTTGTTGCCCGAAAATGAGAGAGCAATCAAATTGGCCCGTCCTATAGCTTCGCGCCTTCACTTTGTAATGGCCTTATTTCGCGGTTTGACGAGTTCATCTTCGCAGCCCTTGACGAACTCCGTCACTTCGTCTGACGAGGTCGTTAAAGAGGTGACGACGAGGGCTGGGGCCAAGAGAAACGTGTCAAGTCGTTCGCGGAGCACTTCTGTGTCTTAGTTGTTGTTGTTGTTTGCTTTGCTCTCGGCGACAACTCCGTCATTGTTCCCAACCGTAACGCGGTTCGTAATGGGGCACGAGCAGCAATTATCCAGGCGTGGCTTTGTTGCCGTGCTAATCGGTCGTCGAGGCAGGCTTGTACGTGTTACGGGCAATTGTAATTGTCTCCTGATTTTTTTTTATCGTTATTTTTTCTCGCCTTTTTAAGAGCGGCAAACGGTGCTCAGACGTGTCGTTAGTGCCACAACTCCAGCTAGCTCGGTTTTCTTTTTTTACGTCTCGCTGTTGCAAACATTGCGTTAATTGGTTGTTTCTAGGCTTCTTTGTGCACCTCTTTTGTTTTGCAACTCTACTCAATAAAATGATATGGTGCATCTCGGTCTGTTTCCTAGATAGAGACCATTTGGTTTATTGCAACCTAAGATCCGTACTGCTTAAGGCATAGCCTTTTCTATATACTTACAAAGCCTGGCACTTGGACGACGGAGTCATAGAGTGCCCGGTTGCAGATTTGGAGCGCCAGGATCTGGTAGCACAGAGCATCAAAGAGCCATTTCTCCGGGAACCCGGACGTCAGCGCGCAGCTTATGCAGCGGCGAGGACCCGAAGCACACTTGTTCGCTCGGGAGAAGTGTGTTTCGGCGTCTCGCCGCAGCGGGGCGCCAGTCACGTGGCTCTCCTCTCATCCGTTGTCTATGCCGCTTCACCTTTTCCATTTCGGCGGCCGCTTCTCGTGGCGATCTGTCAGGCTTTGTCTGTATATAGGAAGCTTTAAGGCGTCCAGCGCGATATATTTTCGACAGCACTTCGGGGGACCCGCAGCCAGACACGACTGCATGATGGGAACGATCGCGCGCTGAAGGCGGAGATTCTCCTGTAGATTATTTGTTGCAACAGAATTATTTGTCTGTGTATGTCTATGTATTAGATGTCGATCACATTAGTGTGCGTATAGATAGATATTATCGTAGTCTGTGGAGATACATTATATCTGTATATATACAGGCTCGACCGCTCGATTCTGGCCGTGTATAAAATACGATTAGTATATAGTTTTTGTATGGATATAATCAAACCTTTGCACGTTAGTGTAAAAAAAAAAAAAGTCAATCAGTCTTTTTAGTCGTTACTCGCTCAAAAAATGTTTAAGTGCGTTGCTCGTTACTGAGATTCAAAAGGAGCTTGAGCTCTAGAATAGCGACTTACCCTCTCGTTAGTTTGAAGGTGTCGCTTTTCTATGGCAGTAGCCGCCTTCCAATATTTTGAGTCGTTCATACTGCCTAGCATTTTTAGCGCATTCGTGCGTATCTTTTTCTTTCAATTTCTTGTTGGCGTACTTCCGCCATTAAAGGTCACAGACGCAAGCAGGGGTGAAAACCAGAGTACATGTTGCCCTCCAGAGGTAACTCTGGAGGGCAACAAGCAACAAAAATACGTTACTGGTCCCTTCTCTCAAAACGTAAAAATTGCTACTTCGTTACGAAAAAAGAAAAAAAAAAAACAGAAACAAACTGGATGGAAGTAACGCCTTACACACAAACTAAATTGTCTGCAACATTCGCTCAGTAACTTTTTTTTTTTTTTTTTTACACATACAAATAATTTACTGGATTTTGCTTTCGCCGTCCAAATATAGTGCTAGTGCTCGGAACCAGATGCCACAGTTTCGGAACTGTGTTATATTATTCCAAAGTTAAAAGTGGTTTTGTGAAAATTCCATAGGGAAAATGGCGGCCTACTGACTCCTAGAATACATGGAGCTCAATGGCGCGCTAGTTACCGCCAATGTCCTTAATTTTCCCGTTGAAATTTTCAGGAAATCCCTTATAATTTTTGAATAAGATAGCGGTTAGTTATGAAACTTTGACATTAAGTTCGGACCGCTAGCGCTACTGCCACCGCTGTCGCGTGAACGTTTTGAACTGGCGACGGTTCCTCATTGTCTGTCTGGTTTTTCTTCTCATCTTTCGCAGAGCTGCCTGATGGAACGCGACAACGCACTCTTCGGTCAGCTCCTTGGCCTGCACCAGAGCATCACGGAGCTTCGCGCCCAACGCCAGCAACACTGGCTCCACCACCGGCCGCCCACGCTGGTCGACGACAGCGATGAAGACGTCGACGATGAAGACGACGACGACGACGACGACGATGTCAGCTCGACAGGTCCGGCGCCTTCACCTCACACCCCGGGGAGCCTCGAGTCGCTCTTAGCGTACGAAGAAGACCGACTCACGCTGTCCTCATCGGCGTCTTCGTCCGACTCGAGGGACCAGAAGAAGAGCGCCAGGAGGTCGACCGGAGGCCCGACCTCCCGCTGCGCGTCGTCGGGGTGTTGGCGGTGTGTGCGCGGCGCTCGGGCCACGGCGCTGCCTCCGGGGTTCCGTAACCGGAGGGCGCTGTCCCAGGCCAGCCTCGTGCTGAGACACGAGCACGCAGACTCGTACGACTCCGGCATCCAGCTTCAGGGAAGCCACTCCGAGTCCGACCACGAGGTGTTCGTCTGAGCCACCAGGAGAAGCCTCCGTCTGCTTTTGGTTTTAATACACTCGCTAGGTGCCGCTAGCTGCCGCCCGGTTTAAAGGGTCCACTCGTATGCACCCATCCATCGGTGATGAGAGCTTAGGCCATTGGCACCATTGGTTTAGGCCGTTTAGGCAAAGGTTAAGGCTACCAAGGGTCACCATCTGCTACTGAAAGCTGTCGCTCGCCACCGTGGGCCGCCTTCTGTTACCGCGAGGGCTGCCGCCTGCTACTGAATTATGATGAAATGGCAGACGTAAATTAGTCCGCTACGAGGTTCCATCTGCGGCCCAAGGACAGACGAGGGCCTTGGTGACAGGTCTTGTGAGTGGCGGCCGAGGACTCGAACAAAGGCCAGAACTGCTGTGACCAATTAACCTGCTTGGAGGCTAGTTTCTAGTCGGCTCCAGTTTGAATGTGGACTCGTTGGTTTCAAATTGTTGTGTACTTGTGCTTTTTTTGGTTCTGAGAAGACCATTCATGATTTCGGCTATGACTTCTGATATTACGTTTTACTCTGTGGCTGTGGTTGGGGGTCTGACGAGATAGGGTTGTGATGCGACCTCTTCTACGGCTACTGGACCATGATGGAGACATGTGGATGTCCAAAAAAGTTCAAAATTTTGCCACTGTTTTTTTTCCTTTGTATCGGTTAGTTGTTGACGATCGAATTATGAAATGTTTTGAAATTATGTATTGCTCTTTTGTATATATATATATGTATTTGTCTTCGAGCAGCAGACTCTGCGTTGTCAAGCGCTATAGCTACTTACGGCCTTCGATGCCTGCTTTCACTCACTGACTTTACCGCACACGTTGCTGTTTTATTTTATTTTTATTCTTTTACGCGCGTCAGCGAGACGTTGTCACAGTGCTTGGGAGACCCGTCTTTTTCATTAGACTCAGCCTTGGAACAAAACAGACTCCTGACAGTTTGAGGACGCCCAATTTTTACTGCCCAAGCCACACGTTTATTTTTATTTTTTTTTTTAAGCTTTTATCACGCACAAGAGAACTTTTAAATGACATTCATTGGCCCATACTTCAGTTTGCTTGGCATGTGTAAAAAAAAGGGTCCCTTTTTCTATAGTATATAATGGTCCATTCCGGGACCTTAACTCAAAAGCGCGGGGACCTAGAAATAGCGACCTTTTTTTCTGTTTCTTTATTGTGTGCTCGCTCTCCTCAGAAAATGGAGCTGTTGTCGTGAAGCTCGTGACGCCGAGGAGTGGCCCTCTTACATGTTTGCTCTTTTCTGTCTCGCATTGTTTTCGTCGTATAGTTGACAGTCGTGCAGAGAGGCCAGCCCGTGTCTCCGTATATATCCATGCCTTCGCCTGCCGCCTCACCTAGTCTCTAGTCCGTGGGATCACGCGCTGGGCGTGCCGTGCCCCACGCGTGGTCAGAGTGTAGTGCCATTTACAAGTAATGAATGACTCGTATACTGAACTACTATCGTTTTGTTTATTTTTTTTGTGTGGGGGTATAAAAGACCTTCTGCAGACATGTTGGAAACATGTATACGAAGCAAAACATGCTTCGAATATGTTGGAGGCATGTTCGCGGATAGTTCTGGTATCATGTCCGCGGCGAACACAGTGTCTTTTGAATCATGTATACGAGCGGTGTGAATCTGGATTCACGTCATCACAGGGCCGAGATTTTGTTCTTGTTTTTATTCTTTAGGGCAAAACAGTTAAAGAGATACAACGTAAGTAAGACGGCGTAAACTTTAAAACGATTTATTTAAAAAAAAAAAAAAAGGAATAATTACACCGGTGTGCGATTTCGATTTCTGCGGTCCTTCTGTACGTTGTAGAACCGGCAACCCCGTCGGTATTTTTTTTTTAATGGCGACGCAGCGTTATAGTAACCGTTTCCAAATCATATCACAAATAAAAGCCAATAAAAAGGTATTTATCCGCGTGTGGGGGGCTGGCGGAGGTTGCCATTTAATCCATGGTTTAGCATTCAGAGTCCGTTTGAGGTGACGCTTTCAAACCGGTATGGTGATTCGCCACATTTGCCGCGTTTCTATGTTTGTTGAGAGAGAGAGAGAGAGAGAGAGAGAGCTATTCAACGCCGCAGGAAATTTTTTACGTGATTTGGATTGCGCCGTGGCAGTTGGTACATTCCTTTTTTTTGGTGTTTCTGTGTTTCTGACGCAATGTTTCGAGCGCAAAGACGTGGCTCTTAGCAACTGGCAACGGTAGCTGTGATGAACCTTTAGGTTCCATATTGTATAGAAGCAAACGATAGCTTATATTTAGATGCAATGCCGTAAACGTGATAGTTGAAGAAAAAAAAATAAAAATAAGGTTAATATTAAAAAAAAAAATAAACTGCTATATTTCGATGGCTATTTTTATATTTTCAGATTACATTTTCCTTTGTGGTCCTGAGTGTTGATCGCGATATCTCTTGTTGAAGCACGTGACACAAATGAACGCAATAAAAATTATTATAGATTTTCTCATATGTCGTTTCGCCTTTTCTCTGGAAAAGCAACATCTAGGATGGGTAAGACTGGAAATGAAACCCCGCTACTTGGCTTGGTAGCGTGTCAGCAACACTTGCCCGCAGGTTCCTGAGCCGACGCGTGCGAATCAGCAGGTGGTCAAGCCGGAATACTCGAGCCGGGAGCCTGCTAATCCAATAAAATCCGGTAAGTGCGAAGAGCTGCACGTTCTCGTTTCCTTTTCAAGGCATACATTTCGATAGTCATTGAGTTTGTTCAACTCATTAGGACATAACTTAATTGACGGCTTGGAATGAATGCTGGAGAAGCTCACGCCAGAAAAACGAAGCAAAACTGACAGTAGCCCGTCTGCTACGACTGCACGCACGCGTCTGCCATGCGGAGCTCAAGTTCGTCTGCTTCCTGGTTGCAGCGGCGTCAGAACACCGAGCTCTGATTGGCTCGATTGGAGAAATAGTGGGTAGACCTCGAGGCTGCTAGCATTCAGGTCTACCCGCTATCCTTCCAATCAGAGCCAATCAGTACTTGGCGTTCTGACGTCACAGCAACCGCTGCTCAACAAGCAGACGAACTTGCGGTAGCAGATGGCAACTAGCAGAAGACTCTTTTTTTCTCGTCGCAAATAACTTTGCCTTGCCGCTATTTTCGAACGCGGCGCAAGTTTTGAGACGACGATCGACGGGTGATTCGGGATAACGGATCCTTGAGAAGTTACAGCATCATTCGATCCAAGTCCACGCACGTTATTGACCCCATTCTCCGCGGGAGGAAGCGTGCACGGTGCCGACGGCTCACGTTCATTCTTCGTCCTTTTTTCTTTTCTTTAATTGCCTTTCGCGATCGGTCAGAGAACACAAGGTTCTCGCTCGCATAGCTTCATCCGCATGCGGGAACCACATTTATTCACTCCCCTCACCCTCGAGTGAGTCAAGTTGCGTCACCCTCGCGCCTTTTCAACGCTCAAAAAGTTATGCAGTCACCCACTCGTTAGAGAGAAGCCAAGGCCAGACTGCGGCGTCCGCTTCGTGCATTCCGAGGTTTCCCTTTATGCATTGGAAAGCGGCGCGGATTTGTGTTTGTTGTTTACAACTGCCCATCGATGTATTTCAAACCGGCGGATTCGGATGCACGGGGCACGAAATTGCGCCGGCTTTCTTTTGTGTGCACAGCGCCGCTGCCGCGGACGAATCTTATACGAGGGACCTTGTCGAGTTGTTGGCTTTGTGCCTATCCGACGTCGACCCCATGTAAATAAAGTGATCGATAGTTTGAAGCTGCGGAGGCTCGCGCGCTCATCTGTGTTGGTGGTATTGGCTCGGTAACCTTCGTTGGCGCGCGATTCGTTCGGCATTTCTTTTTTTTTTTTTTTTCTTTTTTGGAATTCCGCGGAGACGATTGGTCGGGGAAATTGATGACTGAAGTAATAGTTGCGGCTGTAACTTCTTACGGGGAACTGCCATTGATCGATGTCCAATTGTGCTGGCATGTCAACATTGGGTAGATTTAATCGAGCAGTTCACAAAAGCCGGTGTTACGTGTATTTGTTGCGTTTCTAATATACTATATAAGGAGCTGGCCAGGTCCAGCGGTCATGTATCGGTGTAAAGCAGGGAAACGCCGACAGCGATGAATGTCTGGAAATGCACTCTGCGTATCGTTTAAGGCCACGGTCCCACTGAATGTGGCAGTTTGGGTACTTTTTGGCAGGTCATTACTCATCTCCTTTTAAATACTGTTTTGTGGGATTGATGTCATTCGAAAGGCAATGCAATCCTTTTTCATTTGATATTATGTGTGTGTTGGTTTTTACTGTTCATGCGCATTTGTAACGTTGCGAATATGACGGCGCGGACCCTCACTTGCTCCCCTAGTTCATGTTTTATGAACGATCCATTAAAGATAACACGGTTCCAATATAGCAGTTTTGTTAAGATGATGTCGGAGCAGAATCTAACGATCCACTTTTTTTATATTTGCACTACTTTGTTTTTTTCATCCCTCCAAATATTGCCCTAAAATTGACATTTTTTAGCACAAATATGTTTTTAATGACAAGCGCTGGGACAATGAAATTAGCTACAGATGTAGTGCTTATAATTGGTAATATGCAGAAAAAAATTTAATGTTCTGTAAACTTTTTTTGTTTAGATATTTTATATCAAACGTAGCACTTTTTTGTGCTTCGAGTCATGGTACTTCAAATGCCACTGAGGAAATAATTAAACTATGATAAAATCGTTTACAACATTTAGAGCTACAATGGTTGCCCAAGAGGTGGACGATGGCTTTTTTTCATTTTCAAAGTCATAACGCTCCTGGAGCCCTTCAAACTTACCCGTTTTTGACGTATCTCTTTTTTGACTTCAAACAGATTTATTGGCATCTAATAACATTTATTGATTTGAATAGATAAACATTGCGATGTATTAAATTTTCACAATGATCTTGCTTTGGTTTTTTAATAGGTGTAGAGCTTAGCTAATTTTAAAACAATTAAAAACTGTTTGGGTGTATTGTTGCGCTACCTGGCGGATGGCAGACAAACTGCTGATTTCTAATGTTCAAAAAATTTCCGAGGGCGGCGTTGGCGTCTGTATCATCATCAAGCACCGTGTCTTTTTGCCTCCACATTTAAAAAAATATATTGGAAGATTTACTATCGATAAATGAATGGTTTAAGTACTGGGTCAGGTTAATAAATCTAAGACAAATAATTACACAAGCGTAGCGTGATATAATGTGTTCATTATTCGATATGATTGAAATCAATAAGCAATAAAGACGAAGAGAAAAAGAATACACCCGAGTTCATGCCTATACTTCGTTCCAGCTTCGGTCCAGACGCAGCCAAAGCTACAAGCGCGAGCTCCGGGCTTTCAGCATCCCTGTCAAGCACGCGCGCTCGTGCAGTGCAACCACTGTTCTGGACCACATGCTCGCGCTTGTAGCATCGGCTGCGTCTGGACCGAAGCTGAAACGAAGTATAGAGTCACTAAATGAGCTTAAATTATTGGCACTCCGTTCCCCAGAATTGTTTTGGCCTCCGCCATTTTGGGTCTTGTTCAGAGCAAACGCAACTGCCGATCGTCATGATCCAAAAGAACGACTTCATTAGATGCGGTGCTAGGAAGCTGATGCAATATTGCAATGCTCTGTCGCGGGTTGTTTAAACATTAGTGAGGGACGGAAAAGCGTTTCCTGTGATGCTAGATAAAGCTTCAGATAACTGGCAAGCATGATTTTAAGCCACAATATGTCCAAGTCTTTACTCTGAACCGTAGCTAGTTTACTGGCACAAGCGGGAACAATGAGGAAGAGGCAGGTGTCAAAAGGTAGTGGCTTCTGGAATCCACGGGGCTTACGTCATGGCCCCTCCAGGTATTACAAGCCTCTTGAACAAGAGCATGAATAGTGTCATTAAATTAGCTACGCTTCAGAGTAGCAAGACTTGGCCATATTGTGGCTTAAAAACATGGTTGCCAGTTATTTGAAGCTTTATCTGAAATCACAAGAAACGCTTTTCCGTCCTCCACTTAAACAGTTTGCGACAAAGGAAAGCAACATTACATGAGCTTCCTAACACCGAATCTTATGCTGAGGATGTCGCACTTTTGAATCATGACGATCGGCAGTTGCGCCTGCTCTGCACAAGCACAAAAATGGCGGCGTTCACAGCACTGTCGGGGAAGAGAGTGCCGTTACTCTAAGCGCAGCTCATTTATTGGCTCTAGTTCCCGCGAAACTCCTTTTCCCTGACTGAAACTGAAAGTAAATATGAATAATACACCATTCTTATAGCTTATTTAGTTATGACCAACTACACATAATGAGAGGAGGAAGCGGCCGGGTAGTAGAAACGCGGGTTTTATGTGCGACCGTTCTAACCGTCTCAAAAGAGAGAACGCGCGAGCTTTCGCTGGTTTAAAAAGGGCATCCAAAGAAAAGAGGCGGCACGCTGTGTTCTTAGTTATTATGCGTCTAATTGCAAATTGTTGTGTGTATGTTTATACAGCCGGAAGTTAGTCTGCCTTAGTGGGCGTCTGGTGTCTCAGCTGTAGATGAGCAATTTAGCCAGTGCGGTACAACCGCAAACCTGGGGTTTTTAACGTGCACCACGCTGTACGGATACACGACCGCACGCCGGTACGATGCTCTTCCAGATCGAAACGGGCAGGGCAGGGTGAGTTCTGCAGCGCGAGCTTTCGCTCCAAGTGCTCCGAGCTGGTGTGCGCTAGACCATGCACTCGGCCACCGAGTGCATGGTCTAACCTCCCGCCCTTGTGCGTCTAATTTATATACAGGTATAATAATTTGAAGATCGGCGATGGACGTCGATCGTCTCGAGATAATGTAACGTAATAACATTATAAAAATAATAAATTTGTTGAAGGACTGAACGACTCAATTTTTCAATTCTTGGATTGTAATATGGCGGTAGCCTATTGTACTTACTGTTGATGAAGAGCAATATGAGGTGAGGAGGTAATTATCAAATGATGAGGCTCTATAAGGACGACGACATTAGTGGGTGTCGAACCACAACGTACAGTGCCAGACTTGTTTCAAGTATCGTGTACCCAAAGACTTTCTTCACCCGCAACAGAATATGGTAGAATAAATCAGGATGCTGCTTTACAACTGCACGTGGAACAGGAAAACTGCGCTATGCAAAGTGCGGCTTATTCGTTAAAATGAGGGACGGATTTCTATCAGTATTCCCTGATTGACTAAATGGCCTCGTTGACGTAAAGTGTCACCGTTCCAAAAGATTCTTGAAGTATACTTAAACCGCAAAGGAGTATGAGGCGAAAAATAAGAAGAAGGAGCCTGGTGTGAAAGGTCCAAATCACCACCATAGCTCCTAGTATCAAATACAAGGGCAGTTACACAATACACAAAGAGAGTTTTTTTTATTTAGTTATATATACACTCAAGGGCATTGATATCCAACGTATTCAGAGGGATGACACCTTGTGGTCAAGCCACAAAGAGCCTTT